TATTTCATTTCCATTCCTTTCATTATTTTTTTTTTTTTCCCTCTCCCTTGTAAAACTCCCTCTATGTTTTGGTTTTCCACCCGCCAGCCCCCACGGGAGACATTTTGAGACTCTGCTCCCCCCTGCCTCTGCCGGCTGCCCCCCGCTTCTGCTGCAGAAACCTGCCTTTAACAGCCACCCTTGTACAGGAGCAGGCAAGGGGCTGGTCAGACTGGGAGCGGGCAGCAGGTCCAGGCAGAGTGAGCAGCCCAGCCTGGGTCTGCACGGACCGCCCACGGCGGGTGTACAGCACAGGGCAGGGCAGACCCAGAAATCCAACTGTTTTCATGGAAAATGTCAGCAGCTACAGGAACAGCTTCCGTTGCTCGTACTTCCAAGAAAACTTGAATCTTGTCTGGAAAGACCAGGACCTTAGGTGAAGGGTGATGAGATCCCCACGCTCCCTGCACCGAGGTGTCTCCAGGACAGGGATGCTGCCGTGCACAGTTCATTCCACTCCCTCTAATAAATAAACAAAAGGCAGAAAAATGCTGGGAGCTGGAGCTGGTTCCTGATGGCCGGAGCCTGGGGCTGGCTCTCCTGCGAGCCTCAGGTGTCCCTTGGTGCCGTCCAGGCTGGCATGGCCATGCCGGGACCCCCACGGCACAGCCCCGACCCACACGGCTGGTGCAGCAGCAGCGAGGAGGAGCGGGCGAAGGCAGCAGGAGCTGCGGCCCCGTTAGCACCGAAGCAACGAGTGGGCGCAGAGGGTGACCCAGGAAAGCTGATGGAGCATGACAGCCTTCCCCCCCCAGGCTCAGCTTTCCCAGATGTCTGTGCTTGTGGCCACTGCTCCCGGCAGGGAAGGGGACATGTGGGCTTGGGGAGCATCTCTCAAAGAGGGGCTAAGCAGAAATGCCACCTGGTCCCTGTCCCTGCCACCGCCCCATGCTCAGGAGGACAGAACCAGGGATGCTGCTGTGGCCAACCCACTGCTGGTGCTGGGTGCTGTGCACTTGGGAGGGTCCCCTCTTGGCAATCGGACCATGCGCCGGGTCGTGGGGGTTTCATCTGGCAGGAGCAGGGGTGAAGAGCAAAGGGGAAGGGGCTCGCCCACCTCTGAAGTGAGCAGGGTGGATGCCAGGGGGTCCCAAACAGGCGGGGGGAAAACACGGGCTGTGCTGGGAGCAGGGGCACCGAGAGCCCAACCTAACACAGGACAGCTGAAGGAGGTGGGAAGATAAGACCAGGACTCTGGCACTGTCTGAGCAGGACCTGAGGACGTCACTACCCTTGTGCGTGTGGGGCCAACACACGTGCAAGATTTGGATGCAATCAATGGTGGCCTCACTCAGCAGCAAGCACTGTCCTGAATAACCCTCAGACCTGGTTCAAGATCTTTCTCTCCAATTCCAGCCCTCTGACAGTGACTTACAGCCAACATCTGTTGGGCTCAGAGGGCACTAATGGGCCTTAATGACCCTGAGCAGTCCCAGCTGAGTCCCACACCCTGCCCACGGCCCCAGGGGCTCCATTTAAGCTCAGTCCTGGGGCCACCTTCCTTTTGGCTGCGCTGTAGGTGGGCTTCTCCCCAGCCTGGTCTCCTGGCTCAATGTTAGACGCATATTGCAGCCCCACCGCCCGCTGCTCCCAACAGGGCTCCCTGGATGGCTCCATCCCATGGTTGATGGACCACCAGCAGCTGCAAACCCTGGTGAAGCCCTGCAGGTCCCACTGTGGGGACAGCAGCAAGAACCTCCCCAGCGTGAGCAAGTCCTTGGCTGTGGGACCTTCATGAAATATGGGGAGGCGGCAGAGATGAGGAAGCTTGTTGAAAGGAAGCAAGAAAGGACAGCCAAGACGGCTGAGCGCTTGCAGGCTGGAGGGAGGGAAGGGCTATTTAAAGGCATCATCCTGGCGTCCTCTAGCAGATGTATTTACAAGCTTTCAAGCAAGACTTCAGCAAAGGCTAAACAGCAGGGTAAAAAAGGCAGTTATAAACAAAAAGGCACCCTTCAAAACCCCCCCAGCTATGTCCGAGTGAGAAAAAGCGAGAGGACCATAAACTGTGGAAGGTTAAGTGTGAGAACATATGGGAGCAAGCCAAGAAAAAGTCTGAGAAACAGCTTCCAAAAAGCATTAAAAGAAAATATGGGTTCTGTCAAACACATCAAGAGCAAGAAGGCAGCTGGGGAGGGCCAGGAGAGACTCCAGCTTTAAAAACAAAGCAAAACAAAAAAGAAGCTTGAAGAAGTTAAAGCTATAGCTGAAAGCTAAAGCTGCTGCTGTGCCTGAGGGCAGGGAGGTGCCAGAGGGAATGCTCCTTGAGGGGAAAAAGGCTCCAGGGGGGATTCGCGGAGCTGTAAAGCTGCAAGTGTGATACTGTACGGGCATGTCAGCAGCAGCTGTATCAGACAGCCGAGGTGGACACATGGACAAATATGGTGTATTGGAGAGGAGTCAAGGCAGCTCTGGCAGTAGGAAGAGATTCCTTCAAACCTATCGGCCCTCTCTGAAGAGGCCAGCGAGCACGTGCCTCGGGGAGAGTCGGGGGGTATCGGCCCCTTGGGTCTGCAGGAGACCTTGGATGTGCTCTGCAGACCCCAGGCAGCTGCAGGGTAGAAGGTCATCTCATGGCTGACAGCGTGGGGAGCAGCGTGGGAAAGGTAGCACGCAACGCGTAGGGGACATGGACATTTCCTCGGTGGGGATGGTCCCGGGGGAGTGCAGGCTGGGACCATGCTGTTAAACATATCACATGCGTGGGGAGAAGGGCCAAGCAGCAGATACTGCGCTACCGCAGTACAGCATTGGGGGACCGGTGGTGAGGAGCTGCAGGAGGGTCTTGTGAGACTGACAATGAAGCAGCTGTTGAAATTCCTTGTAGAGCAATACAAAACGATGCACATGGGACAAACCCAGCCCTAACTCTGTGTATAAAACGGTGGGCTGTAAACGAAATGGCCTTTGAAGAGTGAGGATTTGAAGGTGTAACAGAGGTCAGGGAAAGCATCAGCATAGCAGCAAAAAAACCCTAATGTAGTATTAGAAAGTAGCAGAAGAATGACAACAAAGATAATAGCAGAGCAGAAATATGTGGTTCACCCACATCTAGCAGAGTGCTTCCCGTGGCGCGGGAGGCTGCAGGAGACCAGGCAAGGCGAGCATGGGGCCACCAAGATAGCCGAAGGGCCCATTTCAAGCAAAGAAATCGCCACAGGCCCATGCTGCCGTTCATCCCTGGGATGGGAAGTTGCCTCGCTTTCAGGCAAGCAGCATCAGCTTTAGCTGAAGAAGGGGGACTTCTCCCAAAGTCCCCCCAGGACAGCAAACACCACGCTCGCTCTCCTCTGAAAACCGGTACTAAGGCTCACAGCTGCGAGGAAATCCTCACTGGGCAATTCAGGTGTAAAGTCTTCTACCAAGTTTCCTCCTTAGGTGAAGGATCGAGCGCCCTGCTGCCGCGGGGAGACCCCAGCCTTGTGCCATGGCCCCCCTTGCACCTCTGCTTCTCACGGGACCCCCTCCAAAGCCCCTCCAGCTCTGCAGGAGCGGAGCAGGGGGAAGTTTCGATCAGCATGGAAGTGGCTGGAGCCTGCCTGGGTTTCCGAGGGGTGAGAGCAGCCTGGGAAGCACCACCACCACCACCCGGGGCAGGTTTCAAGGTGAGCACTGGGGCAGAGGGGGATGAAGATGGGGGTGAGGATGGGTGCCACGAGCAGGGCAGAGCGGGCGTTCTGCACAGCGCTGAGCCTCGCCAGAGGGGCCAGGGCTGACTGGTCTGGGTGCGAGGGAGACGCAGGCAGTCAAAGAGGACTTTGAGGCACTTTGGGGCCAGGACCGTTTTCGCCTCAGAAAGGCAACCGCTTTCCTGCTTTTTTCCTTCCCCCCCCACCATGTTTTTAAAACATTAAGGTCTGAGGACAACACGCTCCTGCTCTGGACCCATGCAGGGGAGCAGCTGAGGTTGAGGGGTGGGTTTCTAGAGGGTCCCAGCCACTCATAGCATCCCACTGAGCACCACCACCAAGCCTCCCTTCCCTCCCAGTTCAGTGCTGGGTGATCCCAGTCTCCATAAGAGATGTCCACCACGGGGATGTGCTGGAGGAAGAGCCTCTCTGCCCCCAGCCGCCCCCGGCAGAGCCCTGTGGGGAGGCAGGTGCCCCGGCATCCCCGCGCGCGGGCTGGCCGCTCTCACCTCTCCAGGCACGTGTGGGGCAGCGCGGCTAATCCTTTGCACATCTTGGCAGGCGGTAGTTTTCCTCGGCTGCGGGAAGAGTGTGAGTGATGGCTAAAGCAGGCAGCAGCAGCTCTGTCTGCAGCCCAGCTCCCCCTCTCCCTCCTATATAGCTCTGGGAGCTGGACCCCCGCCAGCCCCGTAACCAATGCCGTCTGTCCCGCCGCAGCTGGCCCCAGCCCCAGCGGCTTCTGGATTTTGTTTTCTCCTCTCTAAGCTCACACAGAGGGGGAAAAAAATGTGCGTTTTTTTCTGGGGTGAGTTCAGGTAATCAAATTGGAAGGGCCAAGCTGCTGTTGGGGGGCGCTTAAGGAAGCCCACAGGGTTTCCTCTTAATGATATGTCAGGCTCTGGGTCAGTGTTTGAAAGAGCCAGGTGGAAATCCTTCATTCAAGTGAGGTTTTTCTCAATGAAAAATGTCACTTTCATAAAAATATAAGTGCTTAGGAGAAGTCTTGCTGTTGATTTAAAGGCTGTAGCTAACATCAAGATATCTACAGCTTCAAGA